AAAATATTTCTAACTTTAAATAACCTGCAAAAGCCATAAAAAAAAACAAATTAATCAATCAATACTTGCTTTGAGGAAATCTTAATTCATATATAAAATATTTATATCAGGTCAATGAATGCAACTAGTATCATGTAATCCAGTAACATCTGCTGCATAGTTGAGGCATCAGTGACTAAACTGGTTCCCCCATCAGGCTCTTCCAGTGATGAGGGTGGCTAGACACCCAGCAGGATTAACAGCAAGACAAAATGTGGATGAACATTCTTGTAGGATCAAAAACAATCTAGCACATTGGAGTAGACCAAGCTCCATAGCTATGGATGCAGCCAGTGCTGTGAAACACAGCATTGCTGGGTGGAGAGCTTCCTATACTGAATTCAACAGCTAGGATGGAGGGTTCCTCCTCCTCCCCAAATAATGGAATCAACAGCCATGTCTCCATGACTAGGGTAAGCCTTCAGCTTGGAGGACACTGGCTGTGGTTTAACCTAAAGAGGGATGGGATCCGTCAGGTCTACTTACTCAGGACACACAGTTGGATATGCTTTGCCATATTTTTTCCAGTTTATTTTTCTATTTTTAAATTCAAAATACATTTCTTTATATATTTTAAGTTTTTAACAGTAAAATAATTTCGTAGTTCACTGATCTAAAAAAAAAGTATTTTTTTTCTCCACAACTTAAAAATGTTTGTTTTTAATAAAAATTTGGACGACTATATTCTAAATAAAATTAAATTGATTTTTGTGATTACACCAATTTCATAGAAGAAGGATTATAATTATTATTCATTTTTCAGTAGTATTTCTTTCATCTTCATTTTCAGTTGTTTTGACTTTTGATTGAACGGTCATAATGACGATTTAAGATGAAAAACACTTGATAAAATTAGTAACATTGTTTTACTGTATATTTTCAGTTAATAAAAATTACATTAACATTTTTGCCTTGTTTTTTTCAGTAAAACAGTCATTGAAGTAATAATAAAGTTGACTGGACGAGTCCAGAAATTTTCTTTTCTTTTCAGGGGGGGGGGAGCGTTTCTGGTCATGACGGTTTATTCCAATTTAAATCTTGGTATGTTGTGTTGTTTATTGACTGATCTTAATGTAAAATAATTAATAAAAAAAATATTTCTGGTCTGGTGTTCTTTCTTTTCTCTTATTTTTTTTTTTTTTTAGTCTTTAGTTTTCATCAAAGCTCGTTGGATTTCTATAACATAAAATCGAGATAAAGCCATGAAAAGACACATTGAAAATGGTATTAACGACAAAAAAACGCCCGACACCACAGCAAAACGACAAAAATGTCTACCAGACAGCGACACGAAATCATTTCTCAATATCAAACTGTCAAAAGATTCTGGTAAGGTTTTTTTTTTTTTTTTTTTTAATAATTTAACAAAATATTTCATCGTAAAAAGTAATAGTCATCATTATTTGTTAACATGAGAACAATTATATAATTATTTACAAAATTTATCCATGATTGATTAGTGAGTATGGAATTCAATTCATTGATTGAAAAAAAAAAAAGAAACTTTCTAAATAAAATTGAATTTATTTTCTTCTAATTTATCCCATTATTATTGTTGTGGATATTTCAGTAATAAAATATCAAGTTATGTATTTTTCAGCAATATTTTTGTTATAGTTTATTTTCAATAATGTAATTAAATTTCAAAGACAAAAAATTGGAAATTGTAAAAATACATGTCAACGCGGTTATAAAAAGTAAGACACAAAAATAAAACTTTTTAATTTTTGCATACTGTTCCTTTTAGTTTTAGTTTTTATTGATCACCCAGAAAATTGTACTTCACTTCAGTATAATAAAAATATCAGATTTCATTTTAAACGTAAAATCAACAATGATATGTTCAGATTTAGACTTGGTACCAGGTTACAATTAATACCAAGTGTATGTAAGGATCGAACTCGCAAAATATCCTTCAAAATTTTACTAACTGGCTTTGGTTGTCTAATCTAGAATCAATTCTCACATCGCCCTTTCTTTATTGCTGTGTAGAAACATTAAGAAACTGATTTTTTAAAAATAATATAAGAGAGAGTTTTTTAAATTTAAATTTATATTTCACACAGTACCAAAGTTCTGGTTTATTTGTTACAAGTTTCCACATTCATAACAAAAAGAAAGTCCTTTTAAAATCAGAGAGAGAATCGATATTTTCACTAATTTTTAAATCGGGGTGGGGGATGAACTTAAGTTTCAAAAGCCTGCTTGTAGTAATTAATTAGTTTCACAAGATAGGGAGTGTCGATTATTTTGATGTTTCTTCTTGATTACAGTTTTTAAAATAAATCATTTACGTTGATCAATAATTCATTTATTATTTTTTCGGGTGTAGAGAAAAAAAGTCATAACTTCGGTTCGTGGGCAAAAAAAAATATTATTTTTTTATTACGGAAAATAGGTAATGTTTTACTTTTAAGTTTTACTTTTAATAAAATAGATTCTAATTTATTAATTAATATTGGATTATTAAAGGCCTGAAGAGTCGCAATGAGTTAGGTGGGGGCCTTATGAACATTGTAGCTGATGGTTGGCATACAAGCCGATATTTGATCAGTATGGACTGCGTCACCGTGGAGAAGAGGCATGATCTTGTAAGAATCGAAACCCTTAATGATCCTCGGCTATAAACATCACTGATGTGTGTGCAAGAGCAACAAATAGATGTATTATTTCACAACATTTAATTCTTCTATTTATATTGTAATGAAATAAGTAATGTTTTTAAAAAAGTAAAACTAAAAAGTAAAAATGTTAGCAATATAAATGACTTGTTTCATTAAGTTGAATAAATTAAAATATTATTTTTTACAAATTAAAATATTATTTTCTGACATTTTTTTTATCCTACCCACAATCCAAAATTACATCTTTTTCCCAACCTTGGCAAAGAATATCTTATTATTTTGAATAGTGATATTTACTACCCTACTAAAACTTGAAATACTATGAAGTACATTGGAATGTCTTGCTTTCTATTCATATGCCCTACCATTCTTCATATATCAACAGGTAATTGCAAACAAAGTACAATTTCAGATTATTTTTTTAAGTATCCATTGATAATCATGAGATTAGTCATTCCAATACAAGAAACATTTTTCATTCATTGACTGAACATTTTTAGCATTACTGTCAGTTGAAATTTATAAAATTTTTCCCTTAAAACAGTTTTTCAAGAAAATATACTTCAGCTCACTTGTTGTTATTGATCTTTAATGGGAGTTTCTTTCCTAACCTTTTGTTTAAGATAGTGTAGAAAGTCAATATTTTGATTATATTATTTTCTTTTCAAGTTAAATGTGCTTTCTATTTTTGTTGTTGTTGGTGTTGAAAGTCTTTGATGAGATCTTTGTTATTTGGTAAAGTTCTTTGTGATTCTGTAGCAATTTGATGAAGTATTGTCTTCTTTAAGATTGAGAGAATTAATTCATTTGAAACCATTTTAATTGTATATAAAGCAAACAAAAATGAAAGAGTCCAAATCCTAAATTAACTTTAAAAGTAAAAAGTTATCTAATGTATGAAAGATGTTTTTCATCCTTTTTTTTAATAATTTTTTAATTCTACTGCTAAAACACTACGACTAAAATGTGAGACAAGAATTTATATAAAATCTCTAAATTCCCTGCCAAGATTTTAATCACCAATGGTGTACTTCAATTTCTTCCATTTGGTCCCACCCTGCTCAAGATGCTGGATCCTCACTTGTATAATTAAAGTATATTATTTTACACATACATACACACCATATATCATTTTACTCCAAGCAAGGCAATAAAGCCACTAGGATGCAAGAGGTTACTGAGAATGAGAGAATATGAGAAAAACTATTATTAAGGAGGGAGGACAATAAAAGAATAAGACAGAAGATAATGATTGACACTGCATTTAAAATTTTTGAAAATCAATGTTGATGAGAAAGCAAGAAGCCAGAAGGGAGTTCCACAAGTGAGAAGTGCAATAGGAAACTGTTAGCATAGAACTTACGGTTACATCTAGCCATTTCAACTATAAAATGATGAGACCTTGTCACCAATCTAGTTACTTGCTTTCCCGTTATCTACAATCTACAAAAATTTAAATGCAATGTCAGTTGTCATCTGTTTTCTTTAATCCTGTTCTTTGTAATGTCTTTTCTTCTCTGTAACATTTTCTTGGTTTCCTTCTTTCATCCTCAGTAACCCCTTGTGTTTTAGTGGCTTTATCACCTTGTTTGATGTGAAATGATTAAAAAAAAAACTGCTCAGAAAAAGTTTATGACATTTCTTTTTTTAATTCTCCTGTGTCAACATGGTTGCTAATTTTGGTTGACACATTTTTTCAACTAATTGATTTTTGGGTTGTGTATATGCATTTCATGACTGATGCACCGATATTTGATTTATTCAGAGCTTGAATTTTGATAGATTTGATTAGTAGACAAACATTTTTGACACACTTTGCCCACTTCCAAAATCAAGTAGAGTTAGATCCAACATACTCACCAAGCAATTGACCCACTTCTACTAATCCCTCTGAGTACATATTCAAAGCATAAAAATACATTAAGAGAAAATCAGATTTTATATATATATATATATATATATATATATATATATATATATATATATATATATAAATTAAAAAAAGAGAGGTGCCGCAAACGTTTTTGGTTGTAAATGTGGATTTATTTAGAAAAAATATTATGCTTTGTTTTACATAATTTTACTATGACACGTGTTTCTGGTCTCGTATGGTCATAGACCAGAAACACGTGTCGTATATATATATAGAATTTTTGGGAGATAATGATATACAGATACAAGTCCTATTAATTAACCCATAGCCGGGGGGGTGAAGGGGTTGATTCATACTTTTCTCAAGGGTATTTGCACATAAATTAATATAGTGAACCTAACTGGAATTGAAACTCAGCTTTCCAATTCTGAGCTGTTATCCATTACATCACATGCACATCCAAGCTTACAGCACCTGGTTTTCCCAAGCAGTCACCCATCTAGGTGCTGGCCAGGCTTGATGTTGGTTAACCTAGGTAATCATATGGGAACTGGTGTTTCAACATGATATGTCTGTAAGTCTCAGCAATTGTATTTAATTCCTACGGACATGTATAAAATGCAGAGAGAGATTACCTTACCAGTGCATTTATTTATTAGTGATGATGCGAAATGAACAAATGGCCTAATGAATAAATGCATGGGAAAGGTAATGGCTCTCTTTGTTCTATACATAATAATAGGATTTAAATTTGGATGAGAATACAACATGAATCATGTTGTTTTCCACATCTTCTTAAGTGTCACTTAAGATTATTGAACAAAATTTCATAACTGAATCAATTAAGTTGTCAGATCCTCATACATTGAAACCGATGGGAGAGTCCATTATTTATATATATATATATATATATATATATATATATATAATATATATATATATATATATACACTCTTCAAGTATGAATCAAGTTCTCTGAGCTGTTGGCGTATTTCGTATAGTGAAAAACGTTAAAAAATTCCCTTCCTTTCTGCAGTACAACAATGGCCTAGGGGTAAGATATCTGACTGATGTCAAATCAGTCGGGTTTCAATCCCAGCTTGAAGCATTCAGACATCTAGCCACATTCAGGAGCTGTGATACAGCAAAACAGTCTGTCTGTGGATGACTATATATATATATATAATGTATGTATATGGTTGAAAACACAAAAATTCTATATAAATCAACTTACTGGAGACATCTTGCTGTGAGAGAGGTCTTGTGTATAAAATATCTTGTGCTCACTATCAACCTCACCTTATTCAGCAATGGTAATGTGGTGTTAAAAAATTTTTAAAGACAATAGAAAGAGGCTCACTTGAATTCCAGCGGCACTCAACATGTGAAGCTCAGAATAAATGTTCCTGCTAATTTTCATCTTATACAGTCAAATATGAAGAGATATTAACAACAGCCAAAAACCATCTTCCTTGAAAATGGTTAAAGAAGTGGTTGAAAGTGTTTGGGACAATGGACAATACAGATAATTTTACACTCCTTTACTCCCACCAAAATGGAAAAATGTATGAATGCTTGGAACTAATAAATGAATTAAATTTTGCTTGTCTCATATTCGATGAAACATGTTTAAAAGAAAGGTTGCTGCCCAAATATGTATGTATGTATGTATTATATGTGTGTGTATAAATGTTATGGCAAAAATGAGGATAATATTTTACGTAACCTCATATATATATATATATATATATATATATATATATATATATATATATATATATATATATATATATAGCATAGAGCCCGGCGTTGCCTGGGGATATAACATTAAGAGATAGATCAAGTATCCACCATCATAAAGACTGAAAATAAAATAAAAAGATTGACAAAAGGTTGACGGACACGCATGTCTGAATTAGTTGTTTTTTTTTTTTTTTTTTTTTTTACGAATTGGTCAAACCCAAACTCAAACAAAATTGTTTTCAATCGTTATGAGTCTCTACCGATTGAATAAAATTTTTATTATAAACAATTGTCTTGTAAATGGAATTTTTAAAGCATTCTGAATGTAAAAAATAAAGAAAAAAGTGTGCAAGACAATAAGAAACACTACATGCCAAAAAAAAAGTGAAGTTTTGTTGAAATCGGTTGAAAAAATGTAGGTAGCCTTTTCTGTAATCTTTTAGTTTTACAATTTATGATTTTTACTTATTGAATACAGTAAAAAATTTGCATATTTTGCTTGTGGTGATTCATAATTAGAATTCTGATTTGAATATATTTTCCACTCGTTGTTTCTAATACAAAAATATTAACTTTATTTGGGTTTATTAATTATGATCTAACAAATCTTATTCATTTAGTAGCCTTTCTGTAATAATAATCTTTTACAATTTATGATTTTTACTTATTGAATACAGTAAAAAATTGGACACCATGTGTATTTAAAGTAGTTTCCCGTTCGGTTATTATTTTTAGTTAGGACTTGTGTATGTTTAAATTTCATTATCTTTCACTAAAGATAAAGAATTTATCCGATGTTTGTATTCGTACAATCAGTAGAGATCGTTAGATTATTGTTTAAGGTTGATGGACACGCATGTCTTAATTAGTTTTTTTTTTTTTTACGAATTGGTCAAACTCAAACAAAAACATTGTTTTCAATCGTTATGAGTCTCCCGATTGAATAGAATTTTATTACAAATAATTGTCTTGTAAATGGAATTTTTAAAGTATTGTGAATATTAAAAATAAAGAAAAAAGTGTGTAAGAGAATAAGAAACACTACCTGCCAAAAAAAAAAAAGTGAAGTTTTGTTTTATCGGCTGAAAAATATAGGAAATCCGATCCCATATTTAAAGGAACCCACACACACAAACAACCCAATGTGAATTGTACCCTTCCATTTTCACGATGTCTCTTAATCGTGTTTTCAAATTGATTTTGTGCAAAAACAATTATATTTTTCCCCATTTTTGGCGCTGTTAGAACCACCACAAGGTAATTTTATGTAGTCCTGTGAAGTTTTGTTGAAATCAGTTGAAAAATGTAGGAAATCCGATCCAATATATAAACGTTACAGACACACACACACACAATCTGCGTTTTATAATAAATAAGATATATATATATATATATAAATATATAGGCGTTGCTACTGTTGTTTCTATAGCAAGTAGGTTGTTGATGAAAATTAACAGCACAGATGCAAGAATTTATCTTGGATCTGTGTTCTTAATTTTCCTCGACCTTTTCGGTGCAGTCAGTTCTCAATATGGTATCTATGCTAATGACACAACTATTTACTCCTGCCTGAATGCTAAGTCTGATTGGTTCAATAAGGTAAAATTGTCAGCTAATCTCAGAAATTACCTACAATCTGTTGCTAACAGGGATCAGAAATGGCTTGTTAATTTTAATGCCTCCAAAATGAAGCTGCTCTCTTTCAATCATCTTTTACGTTACATCAGCCAGCCTGAATCAATTGCTAGGAATATTGGTTCACTATATTATGCTAGATATTTTTTCTTACCAGAAACTCTCTTACACATTCATAAGTCTACCATTCATCCATGTATTGAATATTGCTGCCATTGCTGGTGCTTCTGCTATGTATTTAGAGATTCTTGATAAAATACAAGGGAAACTCTGTTATAAAAAGCTATGCTACTGGTTCTGACCTGGCATCTTGGCTTCGATCACTTTCCCACTGCTGTAACAGAGCTTCCCTGTACTTTTTCTATAAATACTTTCATGGTAATTATTCTGATGAGCTTTCCTCTTTGGTACCTAAACTTTATAAATTTAAGCACAGTACTAGTTTGGTAGCAAGGTTTTATCATTTTACAGTTGAAAAATGGCTAGATGTAACCATAAGTTCTATGCTAACCATTTCTTCTATCACACCTTTCACTTGTGGAACATTCTTCCAGCTTCTTGCTTTTGAGCCAACTTTGATCTTCAAAAATTTAAGTGCAATGTCAGTTGTTATCTACTGTCTTAATTCCTGTTCTTTTATTTTCTCTCTCTCATTTTATTTGTTTCATATTCTTTCACACTCAGTAACCCCTTGTATCTTAGTCGTTTTATTTCATTTCTTGGGGTGAAATGATTAAAAAAAAAAAAAAAAGGTTAAGTCATTCTCCAACTTTCCTGATACCTTGCCAAACACACATGTAGCCTGACACCACAAAACAGATATTTCTAATGTTCTATCCTTTATTATTTGACAAACAATTTGAATTCCAATTGAAGCTGCTTAAGTTCACTTAGCATTAATACTTTTTGAAATGGCATGAATTCAAATCCCTGTATTTTGTCTCCATGAGAGATATCTTGACAAAACACATCTCCCACTTAACATACCACAACTGTTGTAGATGAATAAACATTTGAACAAACTAATAACTACTTTATTTTTCAGTCTAGAAGACACATTTTTACCTTCAAAATTTCATGTTAAAATCTACTTACATCCTATATTCCAAAGATATGAACAAAAGTGATAAACACAAATTTTGAGAGAACATTCAAAATGGCAAAATTTTAAAAAATAATCTCAATGAATAATCATTTTAAAATCTAATTAAAAATTTAATTTAATTTAAATTTCTTTTTTAGAAATTAATAGAAAATAGCACATATATATATTTTCACTCAAAACATTCAGGTTATTAAATAAAGGACTAAGCTTTTGCCTTAGTCCCCCAAGGTTTGATAAAGATACCTTGGCAAAGGACCTGAAATCCTTCTTCTTCAGAATACAGCTAAAAGCCCACTAGAGGGACAATGATCACACACTTTCCATACTTGATACATTAAAAGAGAAGGACACTACATTCACCCCACAAAACACAGACATTACAATACAGACATTTGAAATAGCAGTAGCATAAAGAAAACAATAGCACGTAAGCTGCCACGTAACAATATTACTGAAGGGGAACATATAGTCCTTGACACGCTGAAACATAGAGATGACCTAATCATAACACAGGCTGACAAAAGGGATGCCATAATGATCTGGGGAATCAAAGAATACATTAAAGAGGCCAACAATCAGCTAGCCGACAAAGAAATCTATAAAAGCTTACCTACAGATCCTCTTCCCAAATACCAAAAAGAATTAACTAGCTCACTAAACATAATGCTTTGCAACAATCTAATCGACAAGGAAACATGCACAACACTTACACCCACAAACATCACACCTGCTTGCTTCTATCTCCTTCCTAAAATACACAAAAACAACAACCCAGGAAGGCCAGTCATTTCATCATTCAACTGCCACACAACCAAAATTTCCAAATACGTAAACCACTACATACAACCCCTAGCTAAGGAAGTAAAACCCTACATCAGAGACACAACAGATCTACTAAACAAAATTAATCACATACAAACAGTGCCAGAGAATGCTATTCTAGTGACTATGGACGTAAGATCATTCTATTCAAACATTAAACACATCACAGGGCTAACCGCCCTTCAGGAAGCACTTACTAAAAGAAGAAAACAAGACCCCCCCCCACAAAGCACACTACCTGCAAGTAAGAGGCTGTGCTATGGGCA